TTCTTTCTGCAAGACGAAAAGTTGAAAAAGTTGCTTCTTTCCCAAGCGGAGGAAAGTAGCGTATCGAGAGGATTCCTGCTCTTTCACGCTGAAGTGGAAAAGGATGAGCAAAAAAATATTTTGTCGCTTCCCACGAGAGGATTAGTTCAACACCAGGGGACATAATGGTTATAAAAGGGGTAGCCAATATCTCGCGGCGCCTGTCACCTCTGCGACACTCCTTCAAAGAACGTTTTCGCCGAGATATCGACGCATGTCGGCTAATTCAATCGCGAGATTCACTTTATGAACCGTGCAAAGTGTTCGCCGGGATGCTCTCCTACGACATCGTGGTTCTTCCCCATTGAAAATAGATGTTAACCCCATTAAGCAGTTCTATCGTCACGCGAGATGCATCTTGAAATGAAACGAAGTAAATCATGTGCATGGACAAGAAAAGTTTGTAATATCCACGGCTATCGTTGGATGAATTCTACACACTTTCGATTTGATGGAAATACCTTGCAAAATCGACCTGGATCTTGAATTTCAAGGTAAAACTTTTCCATATAGTTCGTTTGAGAAATGGCAAAAGAAGGTTCTAACAGCGACTTTATGGTTCCGGATGTAACATTTATATTTTGACAGTTAGTTTCATCATTTGATTATTCAGACTCACACTGGTGCTAAAAACTATGATAAATAAAATGTTAGTGAAGTCTAATACGAAAATTGAATGCGTCCAAAACCATTAAGTCGCTGTTAGGACGCACTTGTCCGAAGCGTTCAATGATTAAGAAACTTTTTTTGATATTTTTTCCAAGAGAACCGTTGGGTTCCTTGGTGAAGTTTTTCCTTCGTGACAAGTAGAATGCAACGGGGGAAAAAAAAAATTTTGAAATTCATGGTCAAAGTCAATTTTACGGCAGGTGTATTATAATTTATCTAGAACAGCCACGGACAAACGTTTCTTTCCACCCTGTACGTATCTCGCAAATGAATACAAGCATTAATCGTACTGTGCGCGTAAATGACAAATCATTCGTTTTGGGAAACGAGGAGAATCACAAATTAACGAAGCAGGTAACATCAGTTCGACGAACGACATAGCGTGGTCGCGCAATTTCTCGTATATTCGCGATAAATACCGATAAATATCGGTTCGAATGCGGCATGCCGATATTAATGGGATTAACACTGGAACTAGCGACGATTAAAGTACAGGGTGGGCCGAAAGTTTCTTCCCACCTACACTTTTTAATAAAACATCAAACTAATAAGAAGAAACTAACTCCATCAATTTTAAATTAAATTTAAAGCGTTTGAACATGACTGCAATCTGTAAAAAGAAAAAAAAAAAATTAGGGATTTATTTTAATAGGAAGTGATTTCTGACCCATCCTGTATATATATATATATATATATATATATATATATAT